ATTTGTTTTAGATCAAGACTAACTGAATCAGAAGATATACGTGCAGAAGGAGGACAAGAATAATCAGATGATGCTAATGAACTTTCTGATTCAGATACACTTGTTAGATCAATATCATTTATACTACTGGAAGTAGTAGGTATTGTTGCTTCGAGTAACACTTCTTCAATTGAGGATTTGTATTCAGCTAATGTAAACTTTAATCGTGGACCAGCTGGGGGAATGAGAACTTTTATCGTATCCGTGTCTAACAATTTTAATGATTCTTGATCGATTTGTTCTCTTGTTAAGGGAAATTAACTTAAAAATATCAAGTATTTCAATTACTTCACTATAATACGATAATATTACACTGACACAGCTGGTGATATATTAATGCAGTTAAATTTCGGGAGTGCTTACAATAATTAAAAAATTATATATGATAGCAATATTAATTAAACAAAGTATTAATTGTATCAGTACAACATAAAATATAGCAACTCACAAAATACCGATATTAAACATATTTTACGATATTTACGACGAAAATTATCTATAAAATCACTAAATCCCCACTCTTGAAGTTTTTTAGCAACAAAATCAGTGATATTGGTTTCAGCCATTATCTACCAAAAAATTTAAATAAAAAGAAACACACAATAAAAGGCAATATATAAAGTGACCAGGTTAGGTGAAATTATTTAAGCAAATGAATATGAACAAATAAAAAATATAATGCTCATTCAAGACGAATAAATCTAGACAAATACGATTACTTACTGTGAAGCTGGATATCACGTTCTTCTTTATCGTCTTTTTTCACAAAATACTATGTACTAATACTGGTACTTTTTTTTAATCACAAATAGCACTTACAAATAAAGAACTTATTAAATGAGTACAGCACTCTTGGAAGTGTAAGAACGTACGTGCGTACGTACGCGTAGTTGGCGGTATTTTTTGTTAACTAGGAAACGAATAAAACCTCGATCAGCGCATACGTTGCATTACCCATTGCTAATTGCAAACTGCATGCACGAGTCTGCATGAGCATAGCAACGTCACCACTACTCATTTATTTTGGATAGTGGCGCTGCTTACTTTACAATTCAATCACTGAAATGGGTTAATTAAATGTAGTTTTTTTAAACACATGTTTTGTGTTAAAATTTTAAGACATATGGTAAATTTTGAGACATTTGGTAGTTAAAAATAACTAAATATAATTTAACTCAAGAAATTGGTTTAAATTTGACCCTATTATATTTAACAGTGTAGAGTCGTTTAAAAAAAAGGTGACCAAATTACGCTATACTCTCCTACTTATTGGATAATTTTCCACCACATACAAGGACCTGAAACAGAAAAAAATAGATTAGTAGATATAAAAGACCACATAATATATGTGGGAGAGGGCCCTACGGGCCGCGACCCGGCATTGGCGCCCGGGCATACGAGGTAGAGAGGAAGGGGCGGCAGTCAGTCGAAGCTCGAAACGCGTAGTAGACACACGTCGCGCTTATCAGTAAAGCTCATTTTCGGCAATAAAGTTCATTCTTGATTTTAATTACATGAAAGAGAGGTGTTCACCCGAGTCGTTCTTCACTCCCTGACTCTCACGAACTCCCATCCTACATATGGGGGCTCGTCCGGGATCGCGAGATCACAGTGAAAGCATCGGTGAGCAGACCAACGAAGAGTAAAAAGACGAAAAGCCGTTAAGCCGGAAAGGCGGAAAGTCGAAAAGTTGCAGTGTCGGAAAGCGGGAAAACGTGTGATTACGCGGTATCGGTCCTTAAACTGATATTCGCGAAACGACGAAAGGTGCCAAGACGTTAGCTCGCATTTCGAACGCGATAAAGTTGTGCCGAAAGGTAAAAGTCGTAAGCCGTTGCAATACACGCGGAAAGATGGTGTCGGAAAAAACACATCAAGACGAAGGAGACAAGCAAGACGAAGCAGCCGCCATGCCTGGCCCAGACGAGCGAGGCAATGGGAACAGCGAAGACGAACGATAAAGGTGCAAGAAAGAAGGAAAGTCGGCCGGTCAGGCAAGGAAAAGACGCAAAGGGCAAATTGCAGAAAGTTCCGGAAAAAACCGGTACGAACGAAGAAAAGCAGGACGCGATCACGTGCTCGACACCAGCGAAGAAGCCGACAGTAGCGCAGTTCAAGAAGCAACTACAAGATCTGAAGTTACCGACATACGGCACGAAAACCGAACTCGAACGTCGATTGAAGCAGTACGAAGATAGTGAATCTGGTGAAGACGAGGCGAGTGGGGACGAGGAGGATACCAGCGGCGACGAAACCGACGCCGATGTAACGGTAGTGCAACACAAGGAGACATCTGAAGAGAGCGAAGAAGACGAGAATACATATACTCATATTTTCCAGGCACAAAGGGAAACAAGACGGAGTGCGCGCTGCGGACGATTTCCGTGTGGTGTCAATTTTTTCACTATTAAAGACGTAGAAGGAAGTATTTCACACTTCTCTGGAGACGATAAGCTGCAAGTAGAAAAATGGATAGAAGAATTCGAAGACACGAGTGCGTTACTGGAGTGGAACGAATTGCAAAAAGTGATGTACGCGAAAAAATTATTACGTGGTTCGGCAAAACAATACATCGCGCTACAAAGAGGCATTACTTCGTGGAAAGTGATGAAACGACGGCTAGTGCGCGAATTCGAAGAAAAGCTAAACAGTGCCACAATCCACTCACAGTTGGTAAAACGTAAAAGATTGTCGAACGAGACGCCACGACAGTATATATATGCCATGAGCACAATCGCTAGTCAGGGGACCATAGAAGAAGAAGCGTTAATACAATACATCATTGACGGAATATCAGACGAGGAAAGTAACAAAGCTATCCTCTACAATGCAGATATGGTCACCGAATTAAGAAAAAAACTGAAGCAGTACGACAGGATAAAAGAAAAGTCCGAGAAGAAGATGACGAAAGGACAGAAAAAAGATAAAATCAAAGAAACAGACAAAAAAGGAACAAGACAGAAGAATGAAAAAGAGAGATGTTTCGGGTGCGGTTCGGTCGAACACATAGCACGAGAGTGTCCAGACAAAGAGAAGGGCCCGAAATGCTTCAAGTGCAACAAGTTCGGGCACATCGCAACAAAGTGCAACACAGCTGATAAGACATCGGACAAAGATGACAATAGAGTGAACGTAGTCTCGATGGTAGAACCAGTGGCAACCGATGACGAGATAATCGTACAAATAAAAAACGCGCAAATACGAGCGATGATAGACACCGGAACACAGCAAACATTATTGAAACAAAGTGAACACAAGAAGATGGGCAGTCCACCGCTGCAGCCGAGTGCAAGTACATTCCAGGGCTTTGGCAACGCATTAGTGAAAGCTACAGGAATGTTTCGCACAAAAATAATAATCCACGGTGAGACATATATTACTGACGTATACATAGTACCTGACGTCGCCATGAGTCACGTAATGCTGCTGGGTAAGGAGCTAACAAGAAGGATGGACATCAACATCCGAGGCGGCCGAGTGACCGTCAGGAAACTAACAGTAGAAGAGAGCCAATCAGAAACAGTGAGAAAAATCACTAAAGAAGAGAACAATCGCGGAAAAGAAAATGACAGTGACGCGTTAAGTGAGTTGCCATTCGTAAATTATATCGAAATGAAATCAGTGGACATTACCGGTCGGTACCGCGAAGAAATCGAGAAACTTATCGAAAGTCATAAGCCGCAAAAAGAAGTTCAAACAAAAGTGAGAACGAAGATTGTGTTACGAGACGAATCACCTATCAATCTGAGGCCGCGACGGTTAGCAATTAAAGAAAAGACAATCCTAAACGCGCAGATCGACGAGTGGCTACGCGACGGCATTATCCAGCCAAGCAAAAGTAATTATTCGAATCCGGTCGTAATTGTACCAAAAAAGAATGGCGAGTACTGCGTATGCATAGACTTTCGACAATTAAACAAGAAGATAATTCGTGATCGATTTCCAATGCCGCTGATCGATGACTGTATCGACGCACTCGCGCAAGCCCATGTATTTTCAGTACTGGACTTAAAGAACGGTTTTTTCCATGTACCTGTGTCACAAGAAAGTCGCAAATATACATCATTCGTGACCCCAACCGGTCAGTACGAGTTTTTGAAAACACCGTTCGGACTGTGTAACAGTCCAACGTCATTCTTACGATTCATAGACGAAGTTTTTCACGACCTCAGCCGAAGAAATGTCGTATTTACATATTTACATATTTAGACGATTTAATAATACCGGGCCGAAACGAAGAAGAAGCACTCGCAAACTTAAAGGAGACACTTGAAGTGGCCGCTGAAAAGGGTTTAGTAATCAACTGGAAGAGAAGCGAATTTTTGAAGAGACGCATCGAATATCTAGGCTACATGATCGAAGGGGGCAACGTCAGTCCAGCCCCGTCGAAGATTAAAGCTGTGAAAAACTTTCCTCCTCCGAAATCAAAGAAAGCGATTCAGAGTTTCCTCGGTTTAGCGGGTCATTTTAGAAAATTCATGTATGACTACGCCAAAATAGCTAGACCGTTGTCAGATGTGTTAAAGGACAACCAAAAATTCCGTTTTGGACCTGAAGAAGAGCAAGCATTTGAGCGACTAAAACAGCGATTAATAAACGAACCAATATTACGAATTTTTCGCCCTGATGCAATCACCGAGTTACACACCGACGCAAGCAAAGAAGGCTATGGTGCTGCTCTCCTACAGAAGAATAAGAATGAAGATCACTTTCATGTCGTTTGCTACATGAGCCGGAAGACATCAGACGCCGAGTCAAGACTACACTCATACGAGCTTGAAACATTAGCCGTGATCCAAACAGTGAAGAAATTCCGAGTTTACTTGCTCGGAATCAAATTTAAATTGGTAACTGACTGCTCAGCATTACAAAAAACATTAAATAAGATTGATATTTCTCCCAAAGTTGCAAGGTGGGCATTAATGCTTGAGGAGTTTGACTACAAAGTCGAACATCGCGCGGGAACACGCCTTAAACACGTCGACGCACTCAGCAGATATCCCGTGATGGCGATCGAAAACAGTTTAACTCCGATAATAAGAAAACAACAAGACGAAGAAGAAAGGTTGCGGGTAATTAAGCAAATTCTAAAAAAGGAGCCATACGAAGATTACGTCTGCGAAAACGAAATTTTAATGAAAGGAACCGGCGAGAAGAGGGTCATCGTACTACCCACAAGCATGCAGCAAGACATAATACGCAAAACCCACGAGAATGGACATTTTGGTGTCAAGAAAATGCTGGAAAGTATTAAAGCAGAGTATTACATTACGAATCTAACAGAAAAGCTCGAGAAATACGTGAGTTGTTGTGTACACTGTATACTGACCGAAGCTAAAAATGGGAAAAAAGAAGGAATGCTTAAACCTATCCCGAAGGGGGATGTACCGCTGTCAACCTATCACGTCGATCACCTTGGTCCAATAACAGCAACGTCGAAATTATATAAGTATCTGTTCGTCGTCGTCGATAAATTTTCGAAATTCGTATGGATATATCCGACCAAGACGACCAACGCAAGAGAAGTATTAGACCGCCTGAAGCATCAACAAAAAACTTTTGGCAACCCACGACGCATAATCCGTGACCGCGGCTCAGCGTTCACATCAACCGACTTCAGAGAATACTGCGCCGAAGAAAATATAGACCATGTCGCAATCACAACAGGAGTTCCAAGAGGAAACGGCCAAGTTGAACGTATCAACCGGATAATTATCCCGATTCTCACGAAGCTGGCCCTAGATTGTCCGGATAAATGGTACCGATACGTAGACAAAGTGCAGGGTGCGATAAACAGCACTTACCAAAGAAGTGTAGGAACTAGCCCATTCGAAGTACTCTTTGGGGTAAAGATGCGCCAGAAAGAAAATGTCGAAATGCTGAACCTAATTGAACAGGAAATGGTGTCAGCATTTGACGAAGAACGTGAAAAATTACGAACCATCGCAAAAGAAAACATCGCGAAGATCCAACAAGAGAACAAAAGAACACACAATCAGAAATGTAAGCCAGCTACACAATATCAGATAGGCGACCTTGTCGCCATCAAACGAACGCAGTTTGGACCTGGCTCGAAGATAAAAAGCAAGTATCTGGGTCCATATAAAATCTCGCAAGTAAAAGGACACGATCGTTACGAGATGATCCATGAAGATAACGGTGAGGGACCAAAAATGACTACATCATCGGCTGACCAAATGAAGCATTACGCATATTACTCTCCAGGGACTGGAGAATAGCAGGAATGGCCGAGTGTGGGAGAGGGCCCTACGGGCCGCGACCCGGCATTGGCGCCCGGGCATACGAGGTAGAGAGGAAGGGGCGGCAGTCAGTCGAAGCTCGGAACGCGTAGTAGATACACGTCGCGCTTATCAGTAAAGCTCATTTTCGGCAATAAAGTTCATTCTTGATTTTAATTACATGAAAGAGAGGTGTTCACCCGAGTCGTTCTTCACTCCCTGACTCTCACGAACTCCCATCCTACATATATACTTATCTTTTAATTTAGTTACAAGTAGAGATCTAAGGGTTTCCTGTAAAATAAAAAGATAAATTAGTCACAATTTTAGTTAAACGAGCAAAGTTAATCACAATAGTATAAGTTAAAAAGTTTTAGTTCTTTTAGATATAGATTTGACCACAAAATATTGTAAATGCACTAGAAGTTGGAGTTTGACATCCTCAGGGAAGTGCAAGGCCAACAGATAAAGAGCCAGACCAAAATTCGCCCCTTTTCTGGACCTCGATTTTTTAACCAAATTTTATGCCAAATGATTAGTCATGATGAGACAGTAATCGCATAAAATTTTTGAGTTGAGTATATGACTGGTTTGCGAAATATAGGAGATCAAAGTTGTGCCAATCCTTTGAGAATGTTTGACACTATTGTGTTTTCATTGCCCTAATGTCAAACATTCTCAAAGGATTGGCACAACTTTGACCTCCTATATTTCGCAAACCAGTCATATACTCAACTCAAAAATTTTATGCGATTACTGTCTCATCATGACTAATCATTTGGCACAAAATTTGATTAAAATCGAGGTCCAGAAAAGGGGCCATTTTTGGTCTGGCTCTTTGATATTTTAATAATTATAATACTTTTATATGTAGAATAACTGGAGGAATGTTATGTAAATATGTAAAAATCATAATTACAAAAATTTACTTAAAAATTGCTAAATTAAATAATTAAAAAAAATCGAATTTTTCGGAAATTAATTTTATCATTTGTCTCTCCAAATCATACAATGTTCGTCTGCAACGTTTTTGTCTGTCGGGCTCAATAATTCGCTTTAGAAAAATAAAGTGGAATATTATATCATTTTTTTACAACCATAAAATACGATTATGATTGTAATCTCTGTAGGAGCCAGATCTGATGTATGGAAATCGAGAAGAACAGGGTCAATTATTGCAACAAGTGTTAACTGCTAGCGACACGGATGCGGATGAAGAAAGAATACCAGGCGAAGGACCAAGACCGGTGAGTATATACTATATAGTATTCATATGAACTTAGCAGACAATAAATTTAATAAGTTTTAAAAAATAATGTCCATATGAAATCGTTTGTATTTTGTGATAAAGACTTTTGAAATGTAATTAAAAAGCTTTGTGAGTAATCAAGATAATTTTAATTATTTATTTTTGCACTATATGCAGTTAGCTAATATAAATAAATTAAATAAAGTTTTTGTAGAATTGTTTGTATTTTGTTTGAAGAGTTTTCAAGTGTAATTAAACATCAACGTGAGCGATATATATATCGCTCACGTCGTGATGTAAGAATAGCAAGTGTAATATTCTCGTGGATGCAATCGTTTACAGTAGTCACCTTTTGGTCCAATCAGAAATTAAGCCTTAAATTTTATAAATCAATATAAAGCTGCTACTAGCAATTTACTTGCCATTCAGGAATTTATCACAAATTAAAAAATCAATATTCAGTCGTCATTATGTTCAATAGTATTTTTACGTCATGGTTCATATTATATATACAATAGACTTTCAATGCTGTACATTTCCAAACAAATTAGAATACACCTATAATATTTAATTGTGTGTGTGTATTAATATTAAAATAATATACATAATTGAGGAATATTTGTAGAAAATATAAATACATTTTATAATACATACATATATATATTAAAATATATTTATTTATAATTGTTAAAGACTTTCTCTTTGTAAATTATGTGGTTCCGTTCTAGCGCGTTCCAAAATGTTTTAGTACTGAACGAAAATCTAGGTGATACGAGCTAAAGATTCTCAGATTATCAGTACATTTCTGAATGCAGCTTATACGGCGGTTAATAATTTACTTAAAAAATATTTAATTAAAATTGCCTGGATACCTCACTTTTTAATTCACTTGGAAAGACTTCATACAAAATACAAACGATTCATAAAATTATTTAACTTTATAGTGAATTTGATTGTGCGTACGTATGATGCACATTAAAACCATTATACAAAAATCGATGTAAAAATGTATGTTTAATATAAATATAGGAACGGATTAAACTTAAAATTCTTAATCATTTTTATTGTATTATATTATTTAATTTAATAAAATATGTAATGGATATTTTATTATTCGAGATATTTTACAATGTGTATTGCACACGAGTGTGCACTAGTGCAATCGAATTCGCTATTAAAAAAAAAAAAACATTCATTGTGCATGATTTGCATAAAGACATAAAGTTTTGAAGTATAATGAATTTTTTTTCTCAGATTGTACGTAAAGCTGGCACGATGGTATCAATGTCAGGAGCAGATGATGCTGTTTATTTCGAATATAAGAAAGCCCCTAGCTCATCGACGGCAAATAAGCATCCACTCTTTAAAAAATTCAGAACATAAGTAATATGATTTTCTTAACATTTTCTCATTACAAGTTATATATATAATAAATAATAAATAAACGATTTTGTTACTGTCAACTGTATTCTTTATTCCATGTATCGCTTGTAACGATAAAAGAAATTTGGACGAATTATTATCGTAATATATGTGTAATATGTAACCTGGACTTGGCTACCGAGAGTACCGTAGAATTTTTCAGATCAGTTTTATCGACGGCGATAAAATGTTGGATCTCGGTTACAGTTTCAGAAAGTGAAAGTAGATGTAGGCGGCATTTGTGTCTGAAAACTATTCCGATTGTTACCTAACCCAACTAATGGCTGAAACAGCTCGTTAGTTGAGGTAGTAATGCGATAAAAACATTTTAATAGTATCAGATGAAAAGGGTGCGATTGACGATTCTCCTCTTATCGCGAAATATATTTGTAAAAGCGGACGCTTCGGGGCAAGTTTTGAGCCACGCAGAGAGCTGCGATGAATTTCCTTCCTATAGTCGCGAATTCCAAAGTTGTCGCGTGCGGGTGCTACTAATCCAATCCAAATTATCGGCGCGTGTTTTTTTTCCTCTCGATAACTTAGTGACGGACTGCTCGTGCGTCAACTCGTCAAGTACGTACAACACACATCAATGTAAGGGAACGCGCGTCAGACAAGTGAGTCATCTGTGACGAAATAAAGGTGTTGGTTCCTACCATGGTGGAAGGGATAGCATGGTGGGCTCAGTTTGCAAGCGTCTCTCTCTAATTCTTTGCCCTCTCGCTTGTTTTCTGACCGTTCAAAACATTGTTGGCCAA